TACATGGTAGTGTTACTGTATTAAATATTGAATAATATTTTATAAATATTTTGTAAGTATCTTTCTTGTTATTATATATAGCACTTGAATTCACGGGTGGTGTGCCTTTTGATATCATAAAACCTGTGTTGGAACGTGCTACGGCAGATCAGTTATTTATGTTGGAACATTATAATCCTTATTTAATTGAAGACACAGACAGCTTATGGCAATTCCATTGTAACCGTGAATTTAGAAATAAGCAAAGAGAAGAAATGGAAACATGGCGCGAGATGTATATGGTGTGTAGTCTTTAAACGAATAATTTTTGTTGTGTATCTTATGTTATTGCACTTTATATTTATACTTTGTATTTTTTGTAACACCACAGCGATGTCTTGATGAAAGGGAAGCGAAACTAAAAACGCTCACAGCTAATATAAAGCAATCAATAGATAAATCGGTTCCAGTAAGATCCACTAAACTTGCGTATGTAGATAATGTAGTTAAACCTCCAAGAAATATTCTTAAGAAGCAAGCTAAATATGGTACTGCAAATTCTGTACCTAATACCGCATCTAGTTTAAAAAAGAAATTAATTAGTGGTGGAGGTCCTACTGCTGCCACAAATATCGCTGTTCCACCGCCACCTATACCTCGTGCAAAGACATGTAAGCATTTTAATATAACAATTAAAAAAAGATTTCATTTTATTAAAGGCAATATTTGAAAATATTTTATTATACTAAAAATTGTATTTTTTTTCATCAGCAACTGGTATAGTGAAGAAAACAAAAGCACCATTAATGGCAAAAGCTCTACAGTTAATAAAAGGACGTTACAAACGGTAGTTCGTAAAAAACTATTCATATTCAACTGTTTAGGTAAGTTACATGTTATGTCAATAGATTTTAAGTACAGTATGTATAAATACCTTATAAGAATTAACAATTGCGTCACACACTGATACAATAATGTATTCTAAGCAGAAACATGTTCGTGTGAAGTTCGCATGCTGCTTCAGGCATTCCGAGATTTACCAAATCGACCATGCCAAAATAATCGCTTAGTGCTTTCATATCTACTGTAAACTCTATAATTAGCCTCGTAAATTGTACAGTAGAAGGGCACAAGTGTTTAAGTTTTTGATGACACTCACGAAAATTTGAAACACTTTCTTAGAAAAGAATTTTTAAATTATAACATCATGCAAAGTTAATCAGTATAAATCGATATTTTATTAAAAATTTTTAGATGTTCAACAATATTAAATTCACAGATGCAGAACCTAATTATAATGTTTTACAGTTATTACATCTAGTTTTGTTCATTGTGTTTTAGTTTACAGTGATAATTATATCGTTTACTAATATTTATCTCTGTAAAAAATATCTATTCATACAAAAAGGCAAAACTACGTACATAATAAATATGTCCCATTTGTTGCTGTGATTCACTAATTTTTTTAGATTACAATTGTAAATATTTTTTGCGCGATCTAGAAAGGTATATACCAGAATAAATGATTATCTTAAAAAATTGAATAAAATTGTAATAATTGCTAGTATTAAGAATGTAATATATACTTTACATTCTTCTACAAGTCACAATGAAATTAAAATATTCGTGGCGTTTATCGACGTCGTAGATCTATATAAAGTTGAAATATATTTATAAACAGTTATGAAAATATCCAATGCATTATAAAGAAATTTCATTATCAAAGAGAATAAGGATTAGAACTAATGATATTTGGAAAATCATAATATTGAATTATTTTAATAGTCAGAACTAAATAATTAGTTTATATTTATATTTAACAAAACCCTGACGCGTATGATAAGCTTGAAAGTTTGTGGTTACAGAAAATATTAAAAATGTAGGTGATTCAATATGCAAGTAAACTTAAATATTGCATATTAATATTTTTGTAAACCTTTATTTGAACAACAGGCGATAATTAAACATTCTATGAAAATAATGTTACCTTATTTAATACATGATATGTATATGTTTATCCAGTTTGAATGTAAAAATTAATTTTTTTTTTGTAATTCTTATTACAGATCATGTAGTATTTGTACTGGTTTAAATCATTTTAAGTATATGGTTCAAGATCCAAAAAGATTTTAATAGTTCTGAACAAATTTTAAACTTGTTTTAGTCGAATTATGTTAAAGTGGTGTTTCTTAAAGAATTTATGTTTTATATTACATATAAATCAAGAATAGAGTTACACATAGTATAACAAAGATTTGAACAATATCGATCAATTCGATATTGATAGAATTAAAATTTTTTTTGATAAATTATTTTCTTTCAAAAACGCCATTTCTATGAGTATATGCATTATTCGATATATAAGTACAATCGCATTTTAATTTTTTACTATTGTAGAAATATATACAAAATGTCACAAACAATTTTATATTTACTACAAATAATAAAATGAAAATATAAAAAATACATTATTCGTCGAGTCAGTTGAAAAAAAAACACTTAATAAAAGAAAAGCAGATTTGGATCAAATTAATATAATTAGTACCAGGTACAATTGTTTTAGTTAAGCCTATCTGTTTTTTTTTTTAAGCATAAGTTATTGTTTAAAAAATATTGTGCGTAATTAGTATATTGTGATTGATATAATGCTAAATGATAATCAAGTATGTAATCAATTTAATATACATAGTAACATTTAAGATAATGTATTTATGTTTTATTTATGATACAAAAATTTAGCGGTCATGTAAAATATTTTAATTTTTATAGTAAACGTATTTTTAAGAATCAAGCGATGAGTTTGAAAAACCTTGAAAACCTGAAAACTCCGTCACATTTGTGTAAAATTTAAATACTTGTATTTAAATGTTCAGTTTCGCGTTTACACTGATTCTTATACCAATTCCTGTACCTGCCTTGTTTACACAACTATGATTTTCCTCTAATATAGAATGTATGATGTATGAAGATGTTCATAAGTGAAGTATTTTACAACCTATATTTATGTTGGAACATTAACACGTTTTGTGCTATGAAAAAAATAAAAAGTTTCAGCAAAACCTCAAAATCAAAATTACATATTTAACTAGTTATATTAAAATACTAAATTATGAAAACAGTGATAATGGATAAATTCTGTCACTTTGATCTTTGTTTATGTGTACTTTGTATAAATAGTGAATCAGAAAGTATGTTTCTTTTTCCAACGAAAGTTTGATCTATGATCTACTATCGTAGATCATGAATAACCTACGTATATGGCACAAAACGTGTTAAAAAAAAGTATTAGCAACATAATAATGTTAGTTAGTTACTTTGGTACTTACAAAATGTAGTGAAAACATAAATATGTACCTCGAAGTATGGTATTTCGTTTATGAATTTCTCGTCTTTACATTTATCTATAATAAAAATTGGAGAATGAAAACTGAAAAAAACTTTGGAGAAACAATAACGTGAATTAGAATACGTGCACGATTAAATGCAGTTTATTATATTACACAGGGTATTTACGAACTGGTAGTAAAACTTGAAAAGGGATGAATCTATGTAAAAGAATAAGTCGAAAATATACAGTAACATTCTTTCATACGAAGCTTCATTTGGGAATAAACCGATGTTGAAGATTAGTCGAATACGCGTTCACTTATATATGGTCTCACTTCATTACATACGTCTAATATCATTGTACATTACCTGTACCATTCGAAAATGTAGCTTCGTATGAAACAACGTTATTCTACATTTTCATCTTATTTTTTTTTTTATATAGATTTACCGGTTCCTAGTTGTACCATCAGTTTGGAAAGATTGTGTATATTGTTATGTTTATTTCACATTAATCGAATTTCAATACGGAAAATGATTCATAACACAACGCTTGTATATCGTCAGATTTTCATCCTTCAATTTGAAAAGTTGAATTTTTATACATCAAAGGTAAAACGTTCTGATAGTTGAGGCGAAAATAAGGAAGAATTAGAATAATTCTAGAAAGAAGTTGCATATGGATGTTCATATACATATTCGTGTTGTTCATGAATTAAGTGTTTATAACGATTCTTAACACTATGGGATTAAATAATTAATTGTAACAGTGTTAAGAACTTGAATAATTAAACGTTGTACATATATTTCACTTGCATTTTATAAATTGGTTGAATTTAAAGAATCGTGACATTTTGTAAAATGATTGGAAATATAATATTTTCATATAAGGAGAAAAATAAAAATTTGGTGGTTTGTTGTCACATGGAATGATTGATTTAAGTCAAAACAGCGGTGTGTTACGTAATTTATTTTTCAACTTAGTGTACTCAATTATTAAATAAACGTCTTTTTTTATAGAAGCTTTTAAATTTTTCATTGAAAACTTTAATCCACTTTTTCTCTCAAAATAGACAATGCTTTGTTGTACATAGCGTTATAGATAGGTAAGTTTAACGTGTATTTTATAAAACTGGAATTTTTCGGTATAATCGGAAGGATTTTAAAAATTACAAAAACTAGACATTTGTAACTTTTATTTATCAAAGAAAGGCAAAATTTATTTTCATATTAATTACGATTACATTTTGCGATTCTGAAAAATTCCGAACTTCCCGAGAATGTTATACAAAGGAAATTACGATTTAAAATTTTTATCCAAGGAAAAATAAAAGTAAATCTGGGAACTTGAAGGAAATTACAATTTTCTAAATTACTACTTTATTGCAATAAATAAAAGTTATAAATAATCAGTGATATGAAATTTTTCGAATTCGACATTAAAGAATTTTTAATTTCAACGATCAGTTTCATTTAATGGATCGTGTACGATAAATTACACAATGTCTTTTTTTTTCGAGCGAAATTCGTTTGCAAACGAATCGAAATTTTCGGCAATACAAGATACAATAAAATATTATCATAAAACCATTTCTTATTTCACGAGGTATAGAAATAATTGTAATAGCTTCACCAATAATTGCATGTTTGACTTTAATAATGCAGACAGTTTTTTTTTTTTCCAAAACGACAATGAGAATATCAATCATAGGTCGTAATAATTACATTATCCGTTCCAATCGAAAATTACGTGGGCGATCATTAAGTACATGGTTATTGTCATAGCACTTGTCAACATAATTGGAAAGCCCACCCTGAAACGAATGCATTGAAGATTATTTGTCGAATTAATTAAATTATTATAACACGAAGAATGAATTAGCGACAAACTCTTGTGACAATGAGCTTAATTTATTCGGGATTTATTATTCGATCTGAATTCGAAATTTCATTCAGAATGCACTCTGTATTTGATATAATATTGGATTAGGTATTTTATAGAATTATATATTTCATAATTGTCTCGTGTAAATTAAAGTAAATTAAAATTAAGGCTAAAATTAAGTAATATGTTGTGTAAGTTCTATCAATATTTGCAATTCAAACATGATTGAAAAATAAAAATTTTCGACTATTACGACATATTTATAATTAAGATGTAGGAATTATTATGAAAGAATAAATACAACAAAATGAATAAAAAGCAAACAATCGTTAGAGAAACTATGAACACTTATTGTATATTTTTATTATTTAAAAATAATGCAAAGTCTTGCTTGAAGCTAATCCAATATGCATAGTATTTGTTATTTAAATGTTCCACAATTGGACCGTTTATTTTGAAAGTGGTGTAAGTCCATTTTTAAAAAAAATGAGATATCGCATAATTTGTGATTAATTTAGTGTAAACTTTTTATTTATAAAAAAAAAAAAATGGACTTGCACTACTTTCGAAATAAACGGTTCAATTATTACTTGTAAAATTTCGAATAAAATTGTATCTAATTAAAAGCAGAATGAATGTTAATAATGTTATTTTACGTATACTCTTTTTTTTTTTGAAATAATACACATAGTGGTGTTTTTATCGTATCGTTATGCACAATATTGTACGTGTGAGTGCTTACTTGAAAAATTGCATAAAAGAGAACCTGTAGCCATGTTGTTCAGCAACTCCTACGCAAACTACGTTAGCAGTAGCTCCAATCAAAGTTCCGTTTCCTGTAAATAGATCCATCCATTCAACTACATAAATCACTGTAAAATTCGTCCTCGTTGAACTTTTACTTTTGTACAAAAATACAATAACTGGTATATTATATCGTAACGAATATATAAATTATTTCCTTTTACAGCAAATATAACTGTAATTCTTCAATTTCAATAGCTATTTTTCAAAAATCTTTTTAAATTGCTGTATTTACTTTGTCGATTTATATAATTTTATTTTTGACAACATTTCCATATTTTTAAGAGCGATACAATTCATTGGAATGAATTTTTGGTATTAGGTCATCCCGTAAGTTCGTGTCGAATTTGATAAATTAGATCAGTATTTCCAACGAACCTTAAAACTTGATAAAAAGAACTAAGTACCTTTTTCATTCTACAACTTTTTTCTATTTCTTTTTTTTTTTTTTTGGCAAGGCTACTATGTCGCCGCTACAGTATTTCCTTGGATTTCCATTAAAATATTTTTCACTTTCGGCACGAACTTATGGGATGATCTAATATTTCTCAGCTTCTAATTGTATTATTTAATTTTAGAAATAATAATAACGTTAAAAAATAATTTTGAAAACTTCTTTACCTCCCATACAAGCGCCAAAAGCGAAAGCCCATACCAAAGGTTGCAGAGGCAATTTTAATTCGCCATTTTTCGCCAAATTTGTAACAATTCTTATCATCATCGTTGAAAGAGGCACATTATCGACGAATGCGCTTGCAATCGCAGACACCCATAGGAGCAATAGTATAGCCACTGCCAATCGTGATTCTTCGTTCACAGACAGGATTATTCTTTCCGTTTGCTTTCCTATCCAAGCGATTAAACCTAGACGTGAAAGAGCCTACAGCAAGAAAACCGAATTATCGAGTGTCTACTTGGAACAAAACTTTAGTATAAAGGCTAGTATGCTCTATGTAAAATTTGAGTGTAACGTGTGTGTTGTATGGCTTTTTTAATATTAGAAAAATTAATCACGAAATTTAAAATTTAAGAAATATTGTTACTGCTTTTTCTGTTTTATTGTACAAATGCTATTTATATAATTGTCTTCTGTAAAATCTTTTAATAGCACTTGTAGGACAATGTGCAAGTATGTCGTACCTCCATAAGAATGAATAACGACGCGAAGAATAATAAAGTGCTCCACTCCACACGCGCCATAAGACCATCTAAATCTTCACTGTCTGCTAAAATTAATATTAAAAGAACACCGATCAAAGCGGTCCAACCTAATGATAAGTGTATGTTTGGGACGCTATGCAAAAAGAATAATGTGATCACCAAGCTCAACGTGAACCCAGACTTCACTAGAAGCCATTTATCACGAATTGGGTACTGCAACATAAAAATTTCTATTGAATTTCAATTTTTATTTTATCGGTTTTCATGAAAATATGTAACTAGTCGATAATTTCTTCCTGAATTTTTCTGTTATAGCACTGTATTTAAAGAAATTTTTTAATTAATTGTAAGGATATAATAAGGAATTGTAAAGATCTGTTAAAGTTTATCTAGGGGGAGATTCTTATGTGCAAGCTTCACATACCGGGTGTCCCAGTTTTTTCCCGATCAAACTTTGCCAGTATGTTCTATAGGCATAAGAGAGAAAAAAATGTTATATGAACATATGTCGTTTGAAGCTTCGTTAAAAAGTTATAACAAAAACACGAAATACAAAGGGAATGGTGACGAACTTGCGGTTACTATGATACAAGACTAGAATGGTACTGGCAGAAGCTACACTCAACACCTTCAACGACCACAGATCGTAAACACAGATACATCGCTAATCTATTCCTATTTTGCGCCATAATAACCGCACACCCGTTATCGTTCCCTTCCTATTTCGTATTACTGTTACAACTTTTTAATAAAGCTTCAAACGACCTATATTTACATAACGTTTTTTTCTTTCTTATGCACATAGAACATACTGACAAAGTTTGATCAGCAAAAACTGGGACACCCTGTATAAACAATTACTAAATGCACGTAATACGTATACATATATGCATCTATTTAATATTTACCTTTTCCTGAAGTTCCTCAAGCGTAGTTTTGTACCTCTCAAGTGCTACGCTACCTGTTATTAACTTCTTTTTCAACTGGGAGAGTAATCGTTGAACCTTTTTCATCAAAGTTTCTCTCACTAAATTTTCGTCTTTACTGTAACTCGACAAACTTGCTGCGGCCCTTTGCCAAATGGCAATTTCATGTCTTAATTCCTACAACGCGGGGACAAAGGAATATATTAAACACGTTTGTTGTGTTTGTAATTTAGTTTGTGCCTTAGCTAACGAATCTTCTTTATGCGAAAAATTGTCGAAAAGTTAAGTTCATTGCCTAGTATAAATTGAAATATAATACCTGAGTCGCAAACTTCAAGGACATGTTTTATGTTTATTTGTGTATCGATAAAATATGAAAACGATCATATTTGGATGGAAAGAGAAGATTGGAAATACATATTGTTTAAAGTACCTGTACATCTTGCGGCTCGTCGAATCTAAGAACGGCTATATCTCGGAAGATAAATCGTAGTTGAGCATATACTACAAATATCACTAGTATAACGCCAATACTCATGTGCAGTGTGAATGTACTAAAATCGATACCCTAAATAATGGCCAACATATTACAATAGTATATTATAAATGATTAATAATTATGAAATATTGTAATCAACGCTTTAACACTGTTTACTCAAATATTCTTGAAAGTTTCATAATACAGATTGAAGCAATCGATATTATTAAGCGTACAAATTAATTCGGACCCTTTTCTCCACAAACTTCAATGTTTATTTAGAAAAAAATCAATCACAATTATAATGTTCCAAATAATCTCAATTATTTTATTTGTTTCTCTCTGAGAAAGTATGGCTGTTTTGGAGTCAAGACTTTGTGCAAAAAGGCACCTAATTAATTTCTACACCTAATATATTTAAATATGCTGCCAGTTTTATATTATTTTTGTAAATACAGTATGTTCATTACGAACAGTTATTTGATCGGTATCGATCGTTTACACCATTATTAATACGAATAAAAATTTTATTCAAGCTAGATATTAAACTGGTTTAACTTAATTGTCGATGAAATATTCCCAGAAATACACGAAGTGATACTTACATTATTAATAACATCGCGATTCGACGCAATAATTACATTAGGCGGATCACCTATTGGCGTCATAGCACCCCCAATATTAGAATAAACCACCATTGCTGTTAATATCGGCACCGGATTTATTTCCATTACTTCGCATAATCGGATGGTTACCGGTGTCATTAACAGTACCGTTGTAACATTATCTAAGATCGATGAAACGAACGCTGTGAAGAAACATAATGTACCTACGAGTGGCCATAGCTTTCCTCCGGTTATCTAAAAACAACAATTATGCCAGCTTTTTAATGGAAATATTAAATACTGTCAAGCATAGATATTCGTGTAATAGAATATTTGTATAGACTGTATTAGAAAATTATGAAAGTATCACCTTGTAAGCATAGACCGCTAACCAGTCAAATATGCCTGTTTCTGCGACTACGGCGACAAGTATCATCATGGAGAACAATAATAACAACGTATCGACGTCTATCCAAGATATCAATTCATCCATAGTTGGTCTCTGTGAAAAAATTCTTTAATCTGTGATTTAATCGACTTCTTAAATTTTCCTAAGATATTCTTAGTCTCTTTCTCTGTATTACCTCATTTAAGGCCGCTAGTATTGCAATAGACATGGTCGACGCTAGCATGGCGGCTAAAGTTCTATGTACAACCTACAATTATTCGCTTAAACTATTTAAACCATTTGAAAATGTGTACATTCGTACAGTGTTAATTGTTATAATGGTGTATAAATCACAGATAGTACACGACGTCTTAGAGATGTCTATTTTTCTAACAACGTGGAAAAATTATATCTTTAACCCTTTGACTTGTAACAACGAGTGACACGAATTCTGGTCAAGATGTGCTAAAGGCAGTCATATTCGTAACAAAAATTCATTTTAATTCTAATTTTAGATTTGACTTGTGAAACTGAAGATTGTCAAATTTAATTAATCTACAATACATTAGCTTACCTTACTTAATGTAGTACTAGAACAGTAAATAGCTGACACTTATAGATGCACAGCCAAGAAAAGAAATCGTAAGTCAAAGGGTTAAGACTTTTTTAAGAAATTTCTGAAGACAGATTTGTAACATTTGGACGTCGTTCAGACGTCTTTTGGACATCCTTAGGCTGTTACTCGACGTCTTTAAGACGTTCATAAGACGTCTGTGTGCTATCTGGGTATAAATGTACATGTACTAAAATATTGCACTAGCTACTTAATATTAAGAAGATCAATTACCTCGAATATTATCAATACATACAACCCAAACAAAACAATTGCAGCATACGCTATACCGTCATCTTTGTCTATTGACGACAAATCGTAACTAATGGAGACAGCAAAACTGGATTCTAAGTTTGTTTTTAAGTTTATCGATGCCATGCTTTGTTCTAGAATTCTAAGAAAAGTATATTAACGTTTTAGGCGTATGTGGGTATATAAGTTTTAAATATAGCAATTCGATATAGAAATACACTTATAACACCGAATATTCTTAGACTCTTTGATCATTAATCAGTTAGGCTTATGTTAAGTATTCACGAATAGAGTTGAAGAAGGCAAAACGGTTGTTTAACGAACTGTACAAAGAAATAATCAGCTTTATCCGAAATTTGAAATCAAAGAATGTAAGTACAGTAATTTCAAAGAAAAAAAGAATAAAGAAAAACAATTACGCGTACTCTTTATCGGTATATCCTAATTCAAAAGTTTTCTGATGCCTCTGTCCAGGAAAAATGTCCATCAGATTTTCCGGAAGTATTGGCAAAATCCATAAATCACTTATATTCTGGATACAAAATATCATAAATTGAAATGAATTAACTTTCGGTTAATTATTAGCTTCAGTGTTAAGAACTTCAAAACCATTTTTATCGTGCATAAAAATATGAATTCTAACGTGCAATTTTTATTACAAATATTATGAAATTTTTACGTAAAGTATTTCATTAAAGGAGGGCATAAAAAAGTAAAAACATTGTGATACTTATTTGTTACAAATAATTTCATACGAAAAGTTTACCTGAACTTGTTCAGACCTAAACGAAAGTGGATTAGTGTTATTTGCTTGGTTGACTAATAGTTCTAACCATACCAATAAATATCTATCAGTTGTGTTTGTATATTTTGTATATTTTACTGATGGAAGTAATGAACCTTCTAATATAACACTAATTTGTTTGCCAGTAATGCTACCGTGCATTTTATAATCTATCAAAATTTAAGGATTAATAGGAGTGATAACTTTCTATGTAAAATACCGAAATTTGAAAAATCTAACGTGAACAGCGTAAAATTACTTCAGTAATTTAATTATTATTCATTGCTTATTTCATTTAACCTACAGTTAATAATTACGCAAATAATTCATTACAAGTATAAAGAAAAGGATACTTTTTACTTGTCCCGTGGGTATTGAGATTTGATGCATTGATTCGATCTTCTCGCTCTTAATCATTAGTATCAGCTGTAACAATTGTATACCATTGCAATAAAAACATCTGTTCAATTGAACAGTACAGTAGTATGCTTAAAATACTAACGTATGATTTATTTTGAAATTTTCTATTTTTGCTCAAAGTGAAGCTCTCCTTCGAAGCAAAATTTAACGTACTTACTGTTTAATATATTCTAGGTGACAAATAAACTTACCGTGAATATTAGCCAACAGCAACACAATATGACAAGTTTGGTATAACGATAAAGTGGTTTTTGTTTCGTTTCATGAGATTCTGGTGACACATCGGGATGTCCATCCTCGTCGATTTTCTTATTTTGCGTTCTAACGTCGATATGCAAATTAATTATTATTATTAATTTATACTGAATTATACATATGATAAATATTTCATTCGTATACTCATTGTACATACTACAACAAAAATAATACACTTTTAAAAATTAAACTTAATATCAATTTTGTTGTCATACGGTTTCAATGTAAATACTGGGTTAACACAGGGTGTCACCAAAATCGTGATGTAGCAAAAATAAATCGGAAAAAAGAATAACATTTTTCTATTTAAGGCTTCGTTTAAAAAAAAAAAAATGCAAATTAACTGCAAGTTTCGAGGTATGGTACTGCTGTTACTCTTTCTACTTGAGGACACCCTGTATATAACAATCATCGTTACTAACCGCGTATTATATTACTGTGTCAAATTTTCAGTCAGAAATACATTTTATTGTAACTTTATATTTTAAAACGAAAAAAAGAGGAGATAACAATGCAGAAAAGTTCATTGCTATGCATTAAATTTTACAATTTTAACTTAATTATTAAAAAAACATTTAATATTACTCACTTTTGTTGTAATAAGGATTGTGGCTCAAGGGACATGTTTACCACCAGGCAATCTTTCTTCAACCCATCTGAAGATCTGGGAAGAACCAATTACATTGCATGTGTTTTAAAATAAACTTAAACTGGGCATTCTAACAAATCTAACTACGCTCTTTATTATTAGGATAGGTTTTAAACCGTTTATTTAAAAAAAAGAAAAAACACACGCTATCGGTGTAAAGTTTGGAAACACTGTGCATTGAAAGTTACACAAACATTTCCAGAAAAGAGTTAGCAAATTTAAGAATCTTTTATCATTCAAATCAATCGAAATAAGGTAAATTGCTATTGATCTCCTCAACATCAATTTCAAATCTATAAAGAATTAGTAGCAAATTCAATGTTTTATGTTTTTCTTTCGAAATAAACGACTTAAAACCACGGAAACATTCAGGACAACCTAATAAAAATACAAGAAATATTGCTATTTAGAATAAAAGAAAACGAAAGCATGTATTTTAACGAATATGTAAGTCACTTTTTTGTATTCTTTTTCCTATAGTGAATGTATTTAAGAAATACCAACTTTCCTTCTGTGGTTTGAAGAACCCGATCGTATTCTCTTTGAAAAACTGCCAAGCTAGGATCCAAACGTATTGCTTCTGGTAGTTGACTCCAAACACGAAGTACATCTTCTGGGATTTGGCCGAATATTACTGAACTAGTGATAGATGACGGAGTTCCTGTAATGTAACGAATAAATGTTAAACCAAGCGTCTAATTTGCAATGCATATTATGGAACGTTCATTGATAAATAATTGTAATTGAATTTTAACAAGCGAATCGTAGTAATTAAATCACAGGCATAGTGTTAGATCAATAAGCATGAAACTTTGTTTACGATAAAATAATAGAAGGCAAGGTGGACCTTTATACCTACAGGGTGGATCGAAAAGTTCGCGGCATAAGTATCAAAGACTTTTGCTAGATGCTTGTAATTTTTACTGTAATTTTTCTGTTCCTTTTTGCAGCTGGTGAAGTAGAGGAGTGTTTGCTGTGACGGAGAAAAGATGGACAAATGTGAGAAATAATCCAATACCTGGTGATAAAGGGCTTCGCTGCAAAGATCATTCAAGACACTTGCGAAAATTATTCAAGGTCCTTGCAGTGAGGTCACGAGGTATTGGATCATTTCTCACTTTTGTCTTGATGGACATCATTGCAAGGACCTTGAATGATTTTTCCACGAGTGTTGAATAATTTTTGCAAGTGTCTTAAATGATCTTTGCAGTAAGGCCATTTATCACCAGATACTGGATCGCTGCTCGTATGCCACTTTTGTCCATCTCTCAAACACCTCTACTTCACTAAATGTTAAAGAGAGAAAAAAAGTGATAGAGCCACGAAACTATCAGGTGTAGAAATGAATTCTTCCCGACTTTTGGGTGCAATTAAACATTTTTTTTTTTAAATAATGAAAAGAGATGAATCGTCGAAATAATTTCCATTATTGTTGATGATCTTTTGCCATTTTCTTGCCAGCTTGCAAAATCGGTGGTTTTCAATCAATTATGTGAATCCAATCGGAAACAATTCATTTCTACACCTAATAGATACACCAGTACACAAATGATTACATATACAGTAAAAATTATATACACTACCGGCCGAAAGTTTCGAATCACCTGCCAATTTATATTAATACTGAATCTGCTACTAATTCTTTATTGATTTGAAATTGATGTTGTGGAGATCAATAGCACTTTATCTCATTTCGATTGATTTGAATAATAAAAAATTCGTTGGAAAATTATTATAAATGCTAACATTTTTGGGGAATTTTTGTGCAACTTGCAATGCACAGTGATTCCAAACATTTGGCCGGTAGTGTATGGTACTTGACACTAGAACGACCAAACCCGTAAAAATGACGGATTACAGATTTCCTATTTTTAATTACAGAAATTAAGATGTTTTTGTCCAAGTGAATTTTGTTGAAATGAAGAAACAATTATACACGCCAATTTACTTTCTCTTAATCATTTGGATTTCGAAGTTCTTTATACAGTATACCTAAATGTATGTACAAGAAGGGAATAAATGTACTACATTCAACTCTGGTTGTTCTAGTGTTAAATCGACAGAGAAATGCGAAAATAGAAACAAAATACAGTAATGTTTCTCACAGTGTCCATCAAACGGTGTCTCTCCTTCCGCATTCGACGGACAATGTGTACAAATATTTAATATATTTTTCTAGCAATTCGTTTTTGTAATTCATCCAAAGCGATATACATACTGTGAAATGAAATTAATCACTCGATAAGTATTAATAAGTGAATGTTGTTCAAATTATATCGTATTTGGTCTCATTTTCATCAGAAAAATCTCACCAATATGTTAACAAATTTTCAGATAAAAAAAAGTTATATTATTCTATTATGAACTGTCGAGCCGTGAAATCTCGTAAAAAAAACAACAACCAGCAAGATAACATAGGCCCAGTGATAACGCAGACTTAGGCGTAGGATCATCTGGGTAGACACTGAGAATCAAAACTGGTGGAAACTGTGAGAGAATTTACTGTAAACGGTTGTTATAAACTTTAATGTACAATTATGGACCGTATCGTTACACTACCGGCCAAAAGTTTCTAATCACTTGCTAATTTCTATCAATATCGAATTTGCTGTGAATTCGTTGTAGATTTGATATTGATCTTGAGAAGATCAATTTACCTTATTTCGATTGATTTGATTGATAAAAAATTCTTAAAATTGCTAACTCTTTTCTGGAAATTGTTGTGTAAATTTCAATGCACAGCGTTTCCAAACTTTTGCCCGATAGTGTATATACATTTTACATACCTGGTGTTCCGCGACTACATCGAGAGCCTTTTCTGAGGAATAACGGTGTCTGCAATCCAATCTCGTCGTCGTCGCTTGAATCGTTTTGAGACATTGTTGTTTCAATAAACAATCCTAATTATCAGATATCGTTTAAAGTTAGATCATGTTAATTCATTTACCGTAGCTGGTAGTTTTACAATAGTTTTGAGACTGATAAATTCAACGTTTACGTTACGATACGTAATGTCACGGAACGTTAATTCAACTTCATAAATCTCTACAAATCGCAGCTTATTTTTTTGCACGTTAGAAATAGTCACCGTACTTATTACAAACCCTGTTTATCGTAGGTATTTAATATTACGTTATTCACTCCGTTATTTAACTCTTATAAGACTGAAATAAAATCGAGAAATTTCTTTTCCAAGTTACAAGGTATTTTTAGTTATCAATCAAAAAAGAGGATATCAAACGACATTTTTTTTTTACAAACGAATAACACAATATAATGTACAAATACTAAAATACTAAACAGTTTCTGTGCTAATTATTTGCAGATCTTGTTTGATTTAACCAACTTACGAAATTCTTTAGAAGTAAACGGATTAATGTTTAATTTTAGCAATCGTTTTTGTACGAATCATGCTTACAGATTGTAAAAGTACGGATTTCAAGGTAATTAATTATTACGATCACTTACGACAAAGAACTAAAGCACGTAGATTTTGCTTTATTCAGTGTCTGGCGGCACAGTTACACAGTAAGCGACGAATTATCGTGAAATATTGTACATTATATTTCAAATCCGGTCCAGTTAGGTGTGAACAGGTAGAGTAGGAATACAGAACTACGTTCTATCTACAACTCTAACTTTCTTGTTCCTATTAGGGGTCATATTCTATATTTATGTGTTTATATGTGTAACATATGTGTATGTTTAGTTTGCGTTTAATGTACGCGCTTATTAAAATTCGATTTTCAGATTATTTACAACCGAGCATTCAAACGCAGAAGTAACGGAAGAAAATTCTTTAATATTCTTCAGAATAATTTTCACAGCAATTATCGCATGCATACGATAATCTGCTTCATTGTAATTTCTTGTTTTAAAGGAATTCAATTACACATTGATACACTAATTATAGGCAATCCTTAAAAACGATAGGAAAACAATAACATTAAGGAATATTCCCATGTACTGTATAACGCATATCTTCAAGAAAACCGACTCGTCTTCTTTTCTTGTCTTCTTTCTAGTATCTGCACTAATGAAAAATTAGAGAAAATCCAGGGAACATTAATATTGTATTATTATAAAAATGTTAAATTTTAAGTGTTGTATTAAAAATAATAGAAATAGAGGTAAGATAATATTTCAGATATGAAAATAAAAATATAATGGCAATTTGTACCGGAGACATTATAACGTTAACCTAATGTTTTATGTTAAACTTTAAATTGTATTTCCATCGTACTGTAATTCACAATACGTACCCAATTCTTGATAGTTCATGTAAGGTAAGTGCTTGTGGTCTAATCCTCAGCAAAACCGCGGAAGCTGTATTTTCACCTGCCTGTATTGCACCGTCTATTGTTCCTGGCCAGTTAACAGCGTATTCGCTCGAAGCAAAGAAGATCCTTGCGGAAAAATAAGCTTATCAGCTCTACTGGTAATTTTATGAAAAATTTTAGCAATTCAATCATTGAACTATTCGTTTCGTATTGAAAGAAAAGAGTAAATAAACTGCGTGCGATTAGACTGAGTTTGAAATTTTTATAGAAATTTATAAATAAATTAATATAAATATGTACAACTTTAAATTGTATTTCCATCGTACTGTAATTCACAATACGTACCCAATTCTTGATAGTTCATGTAAGGTAAGTGCTTGTGGTCTAATCCTCAGCAAAACCGCGGAAGCTGTATTTTCACCTGCCTGTATTGCACCGTCTATTGTTCCTGGCCAGTTAACAGCGTATTCGCTCGAAGCAAAGAAGATCCTTGCGGAAAAATAAGCTTATCAGCTCTACTGGTAATTTTATGAAAAATTTTAGCAATTCAATCATTGAACTATTCGTTTCGTATTGAAAGAAAAGAGTAAATAAACTGCGTGCGATTAGACTGAGTTTGAAATTTTTATAGAAATTTATAAATAAATTAATATACATATGTACATATACCTAAAGAATTAAATTTTCGAATAGTAAAGTCAAATTTGATTAATGTTTAAAATTATAACGCTAATTTACTTATCCTCTTTAACCGTCATCCGGATAGTTCATTTGTGTAACGTACATGAGTATTAACACGCGATTTTGGTAAAGGGTATAGTTTGTGTTTAAGATAAATTTTCAAAAATACTCAGAACTTTCTGAAAACTTATTTATTGTGTTATATTCAAGATTAAGTGAATTATATAGACCTGGATGTGTCCGATGTACTCCTATCCTTTACTTTTGTAATAATATTACTTAAATGTGTTTTCTTTGCTTACCCAAAAAATCTTCGACAATTTTTACTTACAGGACTACAATTCATTCGATACAATAGAAGGAATTTCGGATTTCTCAAGTACTGTTCGAAATATCTTTAAAAAACTAGGCGTGTGAGTCGATTGGACTCACATCGACCGGATAAGAGTTCAAATAAATTGTTTGTGTCTACTAAAATAAAAATTTTGCATTTTACTTTTTATCGATACTTCGAAATTTTCACACCTTTCATAAGGTGAATTTATACAGTCGATATAACTGTCAATGGAAGAGGGCCGCACAACACTCATGGGGCAACCAACTTTTATTTGGTCATTTATTAAGGACTCGTCGTATTCTGTGTATTGCAGATGTTCCAACGTTTCAGTAGCTTTATAACAATCGTTTAACGTATCGAACAACCCTCTCCTGCCTGTCTGAATGACGTTAGATTCAGTAAGAAACCCAGCGAGCACAAATTCCTTCTTATTGCCGTGCGATCCGTCGTAAAGAATGTTTAAATTATTACTAGAATCCCACGTGGTTACGATATTTTTTGTAGAATTATCACTCGGAGGCGATTGTTCGTAAACGATATTAAAAAACACGTTTTCATTTGACGCGTGCAAAGTGTTTAATACACATCGAGACGATGGTTCGATGACAATACGGCTTTGCATTAACGGAGGCACTGCAAGAACTACGAATTCACACCTATGAAGCACAAAATAATGTTCAATCATTTATAACAGAGGCAACAGTGAAAGTATTAATTTTTATTTCTTTTTAAAAAAAATTAGTATTACTTTCATAGAAAGGCAGACATTTTACATAAATTGTCAGGCAGATTGATTCTAAATAGTTACGCAGGTGTACTGAGAAATTATGATAATAAAAGTAACTTCAGTTTCTATTGTTTAGACATAATACCTGAAATGTTTCTTTTGCGTAAAAACATGAACTCGTTCGTCGTTGACTGTAACCTTATAAACTGGATCTGCGTACCTTATTTCTCCCCGTAGCCGTAAAATATTTTTTAATAATTCTTGCACAATTTTAATCATACCTCCCTTTATCGATAATACAACCATTCGATAGACTTATTAAAACAACGATGCGATAAGTGTAGTTTTAAAGTAATACACATTCCTCTTAAATATCAATGCAAGAAATACAAGCGGCAAGTTTCTATACATACTTGAACAAAGTATCGATTACTGTCACCTATCATAACCTTCAATCGATTGTAGAGACCCGAAGCACCGTTCAGTATAACTAAAAACCAAAGTGCTGAAACATCGTTCAGATTTCTTATAGCTGTAAAAAAAAAGACGAGTTAAACATTTCTTTACTTCGTCACAAGTGTAATATGTTATTTGTCGTATTGTAATTTACTTATGCTTCTATTTACATTTTCATCAACATACGAGCCACTCAGAAGCTAAAATGATTAACTTCACTATTTGATATTCTTCCAATTTCAGCATCGAAGTACGTGCTTGGTGCTTAATTTTTCATAAATGAAACAAGTTTGATAAATCTTATTTGATGGAGTTATTGGCTTCTGAGTGGCTAAAATTATCTAAAAATTTCTAATTTAAAGTGTAAACAAATTTACTGCATGTGCTGCAAATAAATGCTCGACATAATGAACGTGCATAGGGAAGATAAACGATTTTACGCAGTAAGTGTTCAACGCTTGTTTCAGCAATTTGCCTCGCATCTTCGTGTCCAGTGTAGGTATTAAATTTAGAATTTGTAGCATTTTCTTCAATCTGTGTAAATAAAATATAACAGATATTGTAGGAGAAAATACTTCAATTGATCACTTGGATAGTACTCCTTGTTTAATACTTTAAATATGAAGTCGTTCAATACGTTCGTGTCGTTCATAGATGTGCCATTTCGATCAATATTTTAAACACACATTTAAATGCTATGAAAGAACTTAGTCACCTATGTTGTCACTATAAAATTTCTTCGATTTTTCATTCAAATATTTTTCAGTATTATTCCTTACAGAGTCGACATTGTCAAATTTGTTGCCCGCTAAAAAATGTTGCGATGCACGAAGCAGATTCTGGAGAATGTGACGGGTGTGATAAAATTTTGCAACTGAATTCACCTAAGTTGTTTTCGCACGTTTTGTGCCATATGCTGTCTGGCATTATCGTGCTGAAAAATTACTTTGTTCCGATTTAAGTGTCCTGAACGTTTCATTGTTACTGCTTTTCTTAACCCTCCGTAGGCAATCTTTGGGTCTCTGATGACCCAAGTGAAATTTCACTCCCGCATTCTCTTGAAACGAAGTTTTATTTTTATTGAGAAAAATTTTAAACATTTGACTTGACCAATAATTGTATAATGTAGTAGAAACTTTGATAAGTAACTGCATCAAAGCTTGAAACAGTGAAAAAATTAGACTCGGACACAAAAGACTCAGTTTGCCTGCGGAGTGTGAAAAAATATGTTTGCCTACGGAGGGTTAACTTTTCTAGTCTGAATTAATGGGTGCATTTCTCGAAAGTAACTCGAAATACAAAAGACGAGCGGCACGAACTTATTGGACGACCTAATTTTTCGCATACTAGATGCAAGTTATTCTATTATAATTTCTGGTATAATTTAAAGTAAATGTAAACAATACAGCTTTCGCTAAATTTTAGTTAACAACTTGGGAGATTAATTGTCATTACCGTTTGAAGAAAACTGTGAACTTCAGCTGCATAAAATCTGGGTAAAGTTTGCAAAGGCTTTCCTTTTGTGTATAAAACATTCTCGTTGGATTTACTACGTCTTTGTTCGATATTTATACGTAATGTTTCCAATAAATTAGTTACGCGTTTTTGTAAAAAATTTGCGTGGTAAGTATCGCTCAAGTTTCTCGATAAAATACGACCTCCTACTTCACCTGTTTTCAGTTAGAAGTAATAAGTATGTACCATTGTACTGATGATGACGTTATTGAAAAGCAGTTATTCTATTTAGAATGATGTGTCACTATAATTGAAAGCATCAAGAAAGTTTCGAACATCGTGTAATATTTGACGTATGATATTGAAACAATTTGTCTAAAGAGAATATACAAGTACATAATAGTGTAAAATATCAATCGTAATTATTTAAAATTTGGATTTTAGAGGACTTTGAAGTTGTAGGCATGTTTAAACATTTTCTTAGCTTTTAATTCTATCGAATTTATATTGCCACATAAGATATCATTAACACGTTAAAATGACGATTACTGTTTGCTTCGAGAATTAGTACATCTAACCCAATTTGTTTCTTCAAAATATTGTATGCGCATGTGAGACCAGTTAAACCTGCTCCTACAATTATAATGTCACAATCGTTCCCATCCTCTTCAACGAATGCCTCGTCGGCGAAATCAGCAGCCATAAGTTCTGTATTATTATTTCAATGTTTATTTTTATTTATATCACAAGGCATGCTAAAAGTGGTCGATAATTTTCACCGTTCGAAGTCAGCAATTTCAGGAATATACGGAGTGGGGCGATAGCTTTGATCACCTTGAATATCTCTGTTCTTGTCAGAGATATGGAGAAACTTTGCTTGCAAAAGTTGTACCATACGAAGGCGGCCATAATACGGCAGTAATAATGCTTTTGTAGGTGAAGGATTTTCGGAGATTTCAAGATCACCTCCATTTTTCTCAAATTGCTTGCCGAACTTTTTTATTCCTGATAGAGTAGAGGATGTTTAGGCGAAACTATCAAATCTTCTTTTCCTATTTCGGTCGAGTCCATCTCCATATCAACGCCTAATTCACTCCACGCATCATGCTTCTTACTTCTGTTTTCAAAGTTCATAAACTCAGAGTTCCATAAGGCGCCGGTTCTCCTGAAACAATTCAAATAAACGAGCGGTCCTTCCTTTCGTCCATTTTACAATTGTAGAAAACGATGTCGAACAATAAACGAATGCTGTAGATGGCAAATATTTCATAACCGCGTCGCACTGATTTGGACCGACTGGCAACTTAACGGTCCTATAACAATATTTTATAACTTTCTTTGATCTATACCGACGTTTGGCGGACAACACATACGAGCCACTCAGAAGCCAAAGTGACTAACTTTGTCAAATTAAATTTATAAAATTATTTTCATTTATAAAGAGTTAAACACCGAGCATGTGCTTCGATACTAAAATTGAAAGAATTTTAAAAAGAGGAGCTAATCATTGTAGTTTCTGAGTGGCTCCCATCCTTCGATACTAAAATTGAAAGAATTTCAAAAAGAGGAGCTAATCATTTTAGTTTCTGAGTGGCTCGTATCTTCTTGTATAACGCGAAAAATGTTATTTAACATAATGTTACAATGCATGATATTTGTCCTTCTCCCTTTCTAACAAGTTCTATAACTTCACTCTACAACGTCTTATGTTATACACGTATAGTGTGGACGTGCGGCTTTACATCATTCCGCGCCAATTCTTCTCCACGATATGCCTATTTACCATCGCCGTAGCAAGCAAAGGATATCGGATTTTTCTCTATCCGCGTTACCCGACAATTTCATCACGCCGGCGAAGGTGACACGAACTTTCACGTACAAATTCCAATACGCAACAGCTCAAAAATAACGGTCGCCGTCGTCTCGAAGCAGTCAGTCCCTTGATATTTCAAGCAACTTTTAACTGCAACCTTTATAACTCCCGCGATGGTCTCCTTCCACCCCCCACCCTCTCCCCACTCCAACCGCGTTTCCCCCCTCCATCCGGGTTCGTCCTAGAAGCGTTACTTTCTTCCGCCCCCTTTACGACTAGTCTACTCTCTCTTTACGGAGCTGTACATCTTAAATAATTGATCCTAACGTAGTTGCTGGTGTTTTTATAACTGTTTTACCGCTCGCTGTTGCCGCTGTGATATACATTATTTAGCCACCGGTTTTTAAACTTAAGTCCCTGGGCATGGAGGTGTGAAAAGAACGAAGAACTATCGGGGATGCGCTCGCCTTTTTGATAAAAGTCCGCGTTTCTGGGCTTCGTTAGTCCCTCCATGCCCCTTTCTCGGTCTAACGTGTCGTAAATGTCGCACAGGTTTCTTTCAATAAACAAGCAATTACATTTTGCACTCTCGTCTTGCGCCAACTCGCCCCATTAGGGTGAACTATTGAAACTTTTACCGTTTCGTGAATGTGTATCCACTGCTTTTTGCTGTGACTTTTGTATAATTTTTCTTCTTTCTTTCTTTTTAATGTAATCTGTGGCGACGAATGAAACGTATTAATTTGTGAGTTTACCAGGTACTTGTGCTATTATTCTTCACTTCCTTGTATCATATTTTATACCTTTCGGGATGAAAAGAGTTAAGAAGGAAATTGTTCTAAAGTTCGTTTTTTATAATACTTGCAGTGTTATTTTCTGTTTCCTCGTCTTATTTCTTCCCCGTGACACAGTATTTAAGGGAAGTGTAGAAAGTAAAAAAAATGAAAAAATTGGAAATTTTCTTATACTTTTAATATACTTGTTATATGATTCTTTAAATTTCGAGAAATTGACAAACCTGTGAGGTGCTAGATACACCGGATCCGTAATGCGTCTCAAAATGGCGGATAAAATTGAATAAAAGTATTATTCGTGAAGATGTGAAACAAGTATGTTCTTTTTTATGAAATTTATGGACCATCCTAAGTTCAGTATAAAAAGTTGATATTAATTTATTTGAATTAACACCTAATATTTTTACACCTGATGATTAGATATTAGACATCTCCTTTTGTTCCTTAGAGTGGTAAATTTAGATAAGATTTAGAGTGACAGTAGATAAATTTGAAAACACTCTTCGACCACTTGCACCAAAACTTCTCCTTAAACAGCCAAATAATTAACAAAACAGAAAAACATTCTTTGATCGTCCCGTGTAAGTTTCACTTTAAACATTTTCTTCACTGTAATCTTGTTCCTTGATACACCTTCCCTTTGTGTTTCTCCTCCTTCGGCGATCTTGTCCGACATATTGTACAAGAAATCGAAGGTGCTCCAGTCGCGGAGGAACCGGCCTAGCCAGGAGGATATAGTTATTTGGCCGCGCGCGCGTCGCTACTTTCGGCAAGAATGAACTTTTCAAATGCTGAATGCAACATCGTTCTCTTCTGGAAAGCACTTTGACAGAGCCCCACGGGTACATTACTAGGATTGCCGCCACCAATTGAACTCCCCCGACTCGCCGTTCAGCCTGGTTCCGCTCCCTTATGTCTGCAAACAGAGCAGCCCGGGGCGACACCGTCGTTCAAACAACCAATCGCTCGATTCACAACGATGAAGCAACTTGCAGATTCTCTATTGTTAACGTTATTTGACTTAGCCGCGCGCTGATCTGCATAATAGGCATTAAACCCGGAAGGATTCAAACTTCCACGCTGACGGGATAAGTTTTCGAGCTAGTCAGCCAGCTAGCCTGATTAAGTCTCCTCGTGTGAAACTTCGGGACGCTCGTTGTTACTTAGCTACGGAAAGAAACTGATTAGCTATTCTGACGGGAACCTTCGCGGAACCTTCTTCAACGAAACGTGTATTTTCAGCCGAGTTCATGACAGTGATCAGATAGGCTGTGCTTCTTTTTTTCTTCCAGAAGAAAAATTGATTCATAATGAAGGACCTCTGTTGATTAGAAAATGGCGAATCTTTTGGGAAGAGATTGCATTGTAAATTTGCTCCTTTATCCTCTTTTTTCAGGAATGACAATAGTAGATTTTGTTTCTCTTTTAAGAATTCTAAAAGTAGCGGAATTGGAGCTACCATTCGTCGAACTAATGCATGTCCAACTTTTTCGAATATTCCTACGGTATTGTAAATAGCAGTAAATGCATTTTGAATACATTCCCAAAGCTAGTCTTCTGTGTCTATCGTACTTTCATAAACCAACTGTTTTGCGTGACCCCATAAATAGAAGTCAAGAGGCGTTAGATCTTAGATCTTCCAACGAATGGAAGTCTGCATTCTTCCAAAGGGAAGAAATTCCGAACTTTTATTGTAACTGCTATAACAACTGATAAGAATCTTCGAACGCTTGTAATTTTTCAATAAAACATTTTCGAACATAAGTTTATATAAACTTTTCTTTACCTATTCAACCTCGTTAACACGTAGTATAAGTTCAGCCCTGACCTTTTTAGACACCCTGTATATTCAAAGTAAAAACACGCGAGTATACACTACTGACAAAGAGTTTGAAATCACTTGCCAATTTATATCAATATCAAATCTGCTACTAGTTTTTCATAGAATTTTTGGTGCAACTTTCAGTGCACAGTGTTTTCAAACTTTTAGCCGACAGTGTACGTCGTTTTGCCTTACAACCACAGAATCGATCACTCCTTGTCCCTTACCAAATTGCTGAAGCAGTTCGTCAAATTCTACACAGTGACAAGTATCAAAGGATTGACGTCGAAACGCCATAGGGGTTCTCGCGAGCTTTCACCGGCAACCGGAGACAGATCCCAAGAATGGTTACAGATTGCACATTATGGCGGTCCATTTTCCACGCGGAATGGCGCGATCTCCGTCGAAGGTGGCCGCTGATACACAACGCTGCTCATAGTCCCACTTTATACGACCGAAATTCCTAGTAAGATGCAGGAGGACATACAAGCTGGAGCAAGGGAAGAAGCAAAGGTGGCGGTGGAGGAGGGGGCGGGTGTTTCACGGGAGGAAGGGAGGAATTCGTAATATAGAGGGCCGCTCTACGACCCCGCTGGGAGGAATTCCGGGGTACGTTTTAAATTGCTGCATCCCCAACCTCCTTGTTTATGTATGCTACCGTGTTTCTTATTCTTGTGCGGCAGCGAAGGAGAGCGCGCGCCGCCCTAACTTTATGTGCACAGTGCCGGCATAAGTATGCAATCTATGCGTCGGTGTAACCAGTATCCCTGTCTGCGTGATCGTACATGTGAAAGCGAGTGCCTTACATGTGCCACGTGAACGAGGATGTATGAGTGACCGCGTGTACACGCGATCGCGCTCGCGCACGCTCGCTCGTGTATGTATGTGTGTGTATTGTATGGTGAAACGTGGTCCTACGTTTCCTCGCGCCGTGCCGCTACTACAGCCTCTCTCTCCCCACGATACAGCCGCCGTTTTCTCTCGTGGATTCTTTTCGTCTTCCGAACCAGCTTCACGCTCTTTCCTTCCTCCTTATCCCCCGACTTCAGACCCGACTTTGGCTACCCTTCGTCCTACCCATCGTTGCCTTTACTCTTGGCTCTTGCCAGCCCTATTTCGTTCCGCTCCTACCTTCCGCTCTCAATTGCTGTAATCTATGGCTGATGCTGGTGGATTTAACCATGGAATTGAGCCACGGTGATTTGTACGGTTTATTAATATTGCATCGATATTGGGCGGGCGGAACTTCGCCATGGGTTTTCATAGATTTTCAA